ATACAACACATGCTTAGGTATTACATCATGATCCAGAGCTGTTATTCATATTTCCTAAGATTTCTTTATATGAATTTTTGAAGGGAAATGTGGACCTAGACAATCCCATATTACTAATTTGGTGCTCGTAAGTATATGTTGATTTTTATTTATATTCACACTTTTTGTACTTTAACATAAAGATTTGATCTTGTAGGTACATTCATGAAGTTTATGCTGAAAAGAAGCTTCTAAGCAAGTATTGTATCTTAGGTCCTTCAAAGATTACTCTTACTCGCGGTTCGCTAGGATACAATATCAAAGACTACATACAGGACAAGTTGAAAGAGAACATCAAAGATTATTATTTGGCCCCGTTTTACCGCGAGTAAGTATATATTAATTTGTGTTTTCATTTATAAATCAATTTTATCCATATTATTAGTTATTCTAAATGTTTATGTAGGCGACATTAACAACTAATTATTATATGTCCCAAGAAAAATATTATAGTTGTGTTTTGCTCGGTGCACTCTGGACTGCCCGATGTTGTGATTAACGCTTTGAATAGGTATATGATATTATTTTTAATACTTAAATTTTACCTTTATAATTTAATAGTTTTTATTCATGTTTAATTTTAACCGACATGTAGAGCGATGGAGGAATATAATACGCTCAAACAAAATGTCATTGGTAAAAAACCAAACTATGTTTACCTAAAAGTAAGTATATTAGTTGTGCTTTTTGAAATTATATATATATATATATATATATATATATATATATATATATATATATATATATATATATATATATATATATATATATATATATATATATATATATATATATATATATATATATATATACACACACACACATATGTATACTTCTTAAGTTAATGTTGTTGTTTTTAGTTTATCATAATTTAAATTTTATTCTAATTATAGGAGTTTAGCAACAAAACGTCATACTCAAAAGAAGATATGGATGACATCCGATCACGTTGAGTCAGTGTCTTCTTATCTTGTTATGAATCTCAACAACAACAACAACAGTTTTTCTTGGTTGTTATAATCTTAATTTTTATATGAACTAAGATTGTCTTTTTGATGTGCAAATATGTAAATTTGTGTATTCCGTTTTGATGATAACAACGTAAATTTGTACATTTAGTTTAAAATAATATGATATATTTCAATTATATTACATATTTTATAATTTCTGTATAAAAAATGATACAGACAGGTGAAAATAAGATTTAAAACAATGTAAATCTGGTATTCATTGGTTAATAGATTTATGGGTTAAATAAGTTTTTGGTCCTTCTAAATATCTCAAATTTCATTTTTAGTCCCTCTAAATTTTTTCTTCAAATAATGATCCTCCTAAAAAATTAAATTTCAACTTTTGGTCTCTCCTGACAAAATCGTAGTTAAAATGGTCTCTAATTTTGTCGCTAAAACCGTCACTAAAACCATCGCTAAAACCGTCGATAAATTGTAAAAACCGTCGCTAAATTGCAGGAGGGACCAAAAGTTAAAATTTAATCTTTTAGGAGGACCATTCTTTGAAGGAAAATTTTAGAGGGACTAAAAATGAAATTTGAAATATTTAGAGGGACCAAAAACTTATTTAACCCTAGATTTATAATGATATGATATAGACCAGTGAAAATAATACAAGTAAAAAATGATACAAGACAGTGAAAAAGATACAAGTAAAAAATGAGTTTTAAGACCTCGGTTATAACTTTAAATCGAGGTAAATAAATACCTTATTACCTCGGTCTTTAAATGAAATCGAGAGATATATGACACGCGTAACAAAATTTAAAAAATAAAATATGCAGTTGCAAGGGATCGAATCAATGACCTTTTAATTTATAACCTTGGTTATAAAAACACTAAGGTGTTAAGTGGTAGCTTTTCATGTCACCCCCTTTGTTACCTCACTTGAGTAGCCGAGGTTAAATGCATTTCGCGATCGACGTTACATGTATTATTTGTAGTAGTGTTTTCTACATCTCTCCGACTGAGAATATGTTGAAGAATACTCTAACTATCTTCCATGTGTATGTTTGATCATCCCGCTCAGGGGGGAATTGTACGACCGGGTCGTTCCGAGTTTCTCTTAATCGTATTGTGTCGAATGATATTTGTTTCACGTTGTATGGTGAACATCATGTGGAAGAATCCTTGGAGATGATATTCTTATACTTTCTATGGATGGTTTATGGGTCTCAACTTATATACCCACATCTACCTGAGCGAGTACTACGATAGTTCGGGTATATACAGGTTATACCTAGAGACCCCACATTTGTTGCTTATGCTATTGTTCTCCGTATAGTGTTGATGGGATATTTATGGAGTATTATGAGCATTTTCTCCCAAAGGATATAGAAAGTGTGTTAGCTTCTCATTCATGGATTATGATATGTAGTTTCATCCAATTGTTTTATAGAGCCTTTATCATATGTAGAAGAAGATCCCCAGAGGCCAGCTCATTAGAAGATACAAAAAGATGAGCATGCAAGGGCGGACCATGTCTTGGTTGTGTTATCGATATGTCATTGTATTGTGTATATTGAGAGAGAGGCTATAACTATGGGTGAGTTTTAGGAAGGCACTCCTGAGAGGGTCACTCTAGAGGCCATTGTAGCAAAGTCATGGCATGCATTGTATTACAGGAGGCAGAGGAGGAACAAAGGCTTCAGATATACATAATAGTTGTCTTTTACTTTGTATTTTGATGTTAACATTTTGAAATTTTGTATATGATTTGTTATATTTTATGAACATTGATGTATGATCTACCAATATTTTATTTGAATATTTGATCTTATTATAGAAAGACAAATGTGTATAATTTATTATAGGATTGATTTATAAATGACTTATAATGTAAGGTTCATTAAAAAAATATAAAAATTCTTCTAACTTATTGTCTAGGTGTAAAAAAATTATCCATGGATTTGTCCAAATTTTAAAATTCAACTCACCCCGTTATAAATATACAACATAGATACAAACACAGGGAATGCGTAGAACTTATCCAAGGATTAAAATCCAAATTTTTTGACAAAAATGAAGTGCTGATAAAGTGATTTGGTGTATATTAAATACGTCTGAATTTTAAAATTCAGACGATATAAATGATATTTTGAGATTTTCATAAAATTTAGAGAGAACAAAGTCTGATACTACAAAGCCAATAGTTAATTTGGTTAAATAAGTTTTTGGTCCCTCTAAATATTTCAATTTCGTTTTTAGTCCCTCTAAATTTTTCCTTCAAAGAATGGTCCTCTTAAAAAATTAAATTTTAATTTTTGGTCTCTCGTAATAAAATCGTAGTTAAAATGGTCTCTAATTCCGTCGCTAAACAAAAACCGTCGCAAAAACCGTCATTATGTTGTAAAAATCGTCGCTAAATTACAGGAGGGACCAAAAGTCAAAATTTAATGTTTTAGGAGGACTATTCTTTGAAGGAAAATTTTAGAGAGACTAAAAACAAAATTTAAAATATTTAGAAAGATCAAAAATTTATTTAACGTTATTTAATTTAAAGTCAGGTAACTATTTTTTACTAGTTTCATATTTAGTTTTAAAAAAACTCATCACAAGGACGAATGGACTAGCAATAATTGAAATGCTAGTTTTCACTCAATTCTTTAATCATTTTTAACTTTTCGATTTTAGAAAGATAAATTCAAATCATTATTTAATATTATTTTTAAAAAAAATGAATAGAAAAATATAAATTTTCTAAAAAAAGATTTAATTATATATATATATATATATATATATATATATATATATATATATATATATATATATATATATATATATATATATATATATATATATATATATATATATATATATATATATATATATATATATATATATATATATATATATATATATATATATATATATATATATATATATATATATATATATATATATATATAAAGAAAATAGATTTATTTTCAAAAAGAGAGATTTTTTACACACCATTTTTTCAAAATTAATAAGTCAACTAATAAAAGAACACAAATCAAATTAATTAAATGAAATTTCAAAATGCCCTTTAAAAATTTCCACTACCTTTTTAAAACACATTTTGGACAATGATAAAGAACAAAGTTGTTTTTTAAAGTCAAGTTATATTTCAATATATTAAAGTTAATATAGAAATTGATGGCAAACATGCAAAAAGTTGTGCTGCTCTTTTTTTATGACAAAATCAATTTTTTTAAAAGTTATATTTATAGATTTAAGAGATACAACATTGTTATTTATAAGTTTTTAGACGCTTTTATAAAAAAATAATTGTTTTTGATGTTAGGAAATTAAATGTGTCAAAAGTATATGGTATGAAAACATGTTGATTGTCAAAACACGATTTCTCATGTTTGAACACTAGCAGCTTTGTAAATTGTTTGTCCACATTAAAACTTTGTGTCTTCAGTCCTACTAGATGGGAAACTCTAGTTAAATCCACACGAAAATGTTTCTCTTCTATCCACTTATATACCAGAACATCTACTGACTTAAGTGTCCATCTCCTCTCATGTGGGTCAGTAAAAAAAGTCACATATGCCTCTTTCTTCACAAATACTCTGACACGTCAAAATATATCAAACAAGACATCCCTAATAAAGTCATATTGATATTTAAAACCTGAAAGATCCTTACAATGAATCACGTGTTTCTCAAATGTATTAAAACACATCTTGCG